AACCTCTGCATATGACCTGTTGCAATTGGGGACATGTAAAACAATTGTTCTCCCACCCCACTTCCCTTTGATGCTTCTTGATCCTTTTGATGTGTGTTGCAAACAGAAAATGTAGAATAATCTTTCTGAGGCTGGTGGGACCCGTGGAATTATGGGGTGACGAGAATTCGTAAATTTGCATGACCACAAAGGAAGTGCAGAGGCAGTGGAAGCTCACTGCTGATAATGATTTTGCCCAACCTGTACTTAGTTCTCTATTCCCACTTTCTGTTGGGAGATCTGACAAAGGACAAAGTCGGTGAGAATCTTGGATTAAAATGTAAAATGTTCTGTGTCTGTGTACACCTGTAAGAAATAGAAGGCTTTACCTATGAAAATACCATTATAGGGTATTTTCTCCATGAGGAACTAATTGGTGATATTTTGAGAGTGCATTTGAAATACTGAGCATCATTTTATTTTAATTGCGCTGTTAAAAGCAGACCTGGGATCTTTTTTTTAAGGTCCTGTTGATAGTTTGCTTCTGGGTTGTGCAAGCAGAAGATGGTCAAATTGGTATTTGACTTGAGAGTCAAAATCCTGAACAGAGAAAGAAAGCAAATCTGTAGATGGTAGAACTAGTGGCTGTAGATGTTGCAACTGAATGTGCTGTGTGTTGGTTTTTGCACTTTGCTTCTCTATGATTTCCTATTAAACTTTGAAGACTCCAGTCAAACTAGCCAGCTAGTTAGATACAAAATTTACTATTGACCTTATCTATAAACTAGTGACTAATATCTTCATTTGTTGAATCCAGGTTTAATGTGTATTCACTGTTACGTTGTTCTGCTGCTGTTTTATTATTATTGCTGAAGAACTAAGTACTTTCTATCCATGATGTCACTTTTCCTTCAGGACTGGCTAACCAGAAGTTTATTACTTTACCATTTCCCTACCTCCTTACAGAGCATCCTAGGGTTTGACCCACTTCCCCAAACTATTAGGCTTGTTTTACTAAATCAACTGGAGTGAAGGGAATATCTACTAACAATTCAAATAAGTCCTTTATGTTACGGTAAGAGGCAGACAATAAAACTGGCAGGCAACTTCTCTGTAATGGTTCCTTTCATCCTCATCCATGTAGTTGTCTGGGAGTAGTTCTGAACGTGAATAGATGACCATGTGCAAGTGGATGTTAAAAACAGCAATGACATTGGACCACTGCAGAAACAAAATTCCACCTCCCCTTTCTATTTCCTGAAAGAGAATTTTGTATCAAAATCTCATTCTAAAAGAGAAAAGAACGTTGGGAACATTTTCATGGAATAGGTGATGTTTTTGCACTGAATGAATGTAAGTTGGTCCAAGCACATGTGTGAATATAGACTGTTTGTGTAGTACAAGTCTCTCACTGATACCCTGCAACTTCCCTGTCAGTTCTTGCACTTCAGTTCAATTCCTGTGAGGTGGGGGTGGGGTGGGAAGAGAAGATACATAAACAGACTTCAAGTGATGTGCAACAGGGAAACTGCAGTAGCCCCATCTACCAAGTTCCACAGTCAGATAGGCTCAAACACACCAGCAAGATCTCTTGGAAAAGAGTTCTCAAATATCTTAAAACTTGGATAAGAAAACAGAAATTTCTTTTCATGGTGCAGGAAGGGTTCTTTAAAAAAATGTAAGGCAGATTGTAGTATATCATTAAATACAAATAGTTCTATGAAAGTATCTTTGCCTAAAAATTGCTTTTGTTTCTTGCTGTTTAGACTTCAGGAGAGGAAAGCAAGTGTTGAATTGCTTATGGGTTTGGGTTTCTTCATGGACAGATGTGTTAGCTTCTCTTAGAATAGGAAACCTACATCTTTTCACAAGAAAGAAGTCTCAGCGGATATGTTGCAAAATGTGAAACAGAAAGTATGGGTTTTTTAAGCTTGCTGTGTCCTTTAAATCATTCACAGTATTCGTAATAGTGCAAGCTACTTTATGATGGGATATGATGGATGCTTAACAAAGTCCTTCTGTCCCAGGATATTCATGTGGGTTATTTATCAACTGCCTTTGAAGACCTGCAGTAATAGCTATATAGGCTGCAATGTCTTGCCTTTTCCCCTTAAGATAGCTGCTATATTGGAATTCTCAGCCCATAATTTTCAGATTGACTCAGCAGGAGGAACTGAAAGTACTCTATACTTGAAATACACCAGAAATGGGAGTCTACTACATTTGTATTTTTCATGGAATCAAGTTTCAGACAATTCAGTAAACTTATTTCTGCTTAAACACATCCAAGATTATAGGGTTATATTTCTAAGACGATAAAAGCCATCGTATCGCAGCCCTTTCTATGAGTTGTCCAATTGATGAGATTATTTGTTGTTGTTGACATTAGACTGTTTGAATGGTCCTTCCTGCTGAAGGCAGTAGAAGATAAATTTGTTCCTTTGCAATATTCTAGAAGAGGACATAGCGCTCATACACAACACTTTAATCTCAACTGGGCACTTGACATTTTCATTTGGTGTGTCACTGGAAATGGAAATCATGTATTCCAAGCCTTGATTAATTTTGAGCCCAATAGTGTTATGGCCTTTGACATAATGACGTTTTTTGACTTTGATTAAATTAGAGGGTAAATGCCATGAAAGCCTGTTTTAAATCATGGTCAATTCTTTATTAATTCAGTTGTTTTCTGCCAAGTTTTGAGAATGGGACCAATTGCTTTGGAACTATCATGGTTACAAAGCTATGGGCTAGTTTAGATGAGGAAAGATTAGCCACAAAGTTGAGCTCATGATCTTCTTAGCTCAAGCTATTCTTGATTATTGGATGCTACATTAGTATGAAGTAGAAAAAAATGTGTCTGGTTAGTTTCTGGGACTTTATATGTGAAGTTGTAGCGAGACTGTGTTGTTCTGTTTAGATGGCTTGAACAAGGCTTGCATTTGTTCAAATAAACCTTAGCAGCATACTGGGACACTGAGAATGACATAAGATGACTTAAATGCTGTTTTGCTAGAACTACATTACTCAACAGTGGGAAGAGTTCAGAGTTCAGTTTAAAACATATATTCATAGAAGCAAGCTAATCTTACGGCACAATGCCATTGATATGTCAACAAAATACTGCAGCTGGTGGAACTGGCTGAACATTAAGACTGCAATTACTTTTTATTTCAGCTGATCTTGGGAAAAGTTTGTAGAGACTATATATTCAACTTGTTACTTCATAAAGGAAATCTTCATGAAAATATAGTGGACATATAGTCCACCAATATTTCTCTTTCTTAGGGTATTTTCAAAGCTTGACAGAACAATTTTCAAACCAGGTTGTTGTTTTGTTTAACAAAAATATCCCAAATTTGATGTCCTCAAGGTTTATTGGAGTGTGACTTTCATCATCTCTAACATAGTCAATGAGATGTAAATTATGCAGGGTTCCCCCCCCCCTTTAAAATGCTTTTCTTTCTTTCCATCTCCCCAATCCCAATTCCAAACTAAAGTTATTCAATGTTTTATTTTATTGCAAATGACAGCAGTTATACATTTTTTTCCTTTAATGAGCTGTTCTTAAAAAGAAATCCATATGCGCTTTTATTAAATGTGGAACTATTGTAGACCTCAGGCTAGACAATTCAAAAAATCTGCATTTTACAAGCAGGTTTAAGGACCATGTTTCAAGAAAACTGAAATGAATAGACATCTAACCCATGTTGTGCAAATTATCCCCCTCCTTCCTTCCATCTCGCTTGAAAAAAAAAATCACCATAAGCTGATTTTAATTGATGCCATGTTCCCTGGTTGATATTAGATGAGCAGTTGTGCTTCTGGATGAAAAGCTAGTCTAAAAGCAATTGTATCTAACTTAGCTCCTTGTTGGATGTTTAGCAGTTGGCCAATTAGAATTGGTGTTAACAATTGATTTATCTGGTGTCTCTTTATAGTGTCAGTCTGGGCATTTGTTACATTGAATTATGTTAAAATGTGATGCATTTAGAGCAATGTGCTTGAGGATCTTCAGGGCTAATTTGAGCATATAACTGGAACTGTGTGCAAATGCTAAAATGAAGGAGTTCCTGTGGAAAAAAGATCCTTTACACTTATGTGCATATATACAGATGCTCCATCTGCTAAGAAGGGCGTGCATAGTGCGTACTGGGAGTTAAATCTACCCTGGCATACCACTGGGCCTTATTTTCAGATAGTCCATAATGACATTTTCTAAACAAAATAGCCTTCCTGGCATAGTGTAGCTCCTTGAACATGTCTCACTCAATTCAGAAGGACAAGTGTATCATTTCTTTTTGAATTAAGGCTCTTTAAAAGCATCTGTTTATTTAAAAACACAAATATTGGAATATGAATGAACTGGTATGTATGTACAAGGCAAGTGGTTTTTTAAATATTATTCCAACTAGTTAATGGTGGTTTCATGATGTACAAGTTCTGCAAACAATCCTTTTTGTTTGTGCTCTCAGCCATATGTTGGAGGGACTTTATTGAATTTGTACAACGTGTTAAGATATAGTTATATGGAGGGTTCACATACATGTTATATTTTTTATGCTTGGCTGCATCACAGCCAAAGATTCTAGTTCAAATCTGGGTAGAAGAAAGTTATTTTGGGAAGGTGAAATTTGTGATAGTGCTTTCCCCATTTAAGGTTTTCCTGCTTTCTCACTGCTGTTTTAAAACTTGCTAATCCCATCATAGATTTTCTTCTGAACAGGATTTCAAACATTTTTTTAATTTGTAGAAAAACAGCATGAGAACAAAAGGTTAAGTGTTCTCCTGTCCTTTGAAAAGCATCTTTTTTTTCCTTTTTAAAAAAAGGCAAGACTCTTTCCCATACGTTAGGGTAGTGTTCTCCAAATTGGTCAAGGGTTGATGGGACTATCGGTTGTTCTCTATTCACTTACCATTTGTTGTCGTGGTTAGTATTTTTTGTGAAAGTAGTATTACATTATTTTCATATAATAGGTGGAAGGTTGATACACAATCTGCAACTTCATGAACAGGTGGATGAGATGAAGCATTTGGGGACCCTTGCATTAGCAAAATATAGGTACCCCTTAGATCTTTTACACATTACACTATTTATAGTATGATGATCAGCTCTTTGGTTTTGGGTGAAGTACAGTTCTAGTTTGGTAAGGCATGGACTAGAATTGTAGAGATCTTCAAGTGTGGAAGCTCATAGGGTGAATTCAGGCCAGACATACTCTTTTAACCCAGTGCACAATTCACAGGGGAAAAGTATATCATTACCTGACTCCTAGAGGAAAGGGGAATGTAACAAACAAAGACAGACAGGGAACATTA